TACAAAATAAACTGGGAAGGAATAATCTGTAATATTATTATAGCCTGATGTAATCAGGCAATTGTTCAGCATTAACTGGAGAAGAGTTTGTATTAAGTCCAAATGCATTTCTAGTCTTATAAGAATAGAATTAAGTAATAAACATTGTCCCACAATTGTCTACATAATGCAAATTTCCTTAAAATTTAGATATTCCAATAAATTATTTTAAAATAAAATACTAATCCAAACGATTGCTGTAATTAATCAGGCAATTATTTTTGGTACTATCATTTCTTATCTAACTTACTGCAAATCTTATCTAAATCAATAATTATAACTAAATTATTATAATTATTCATTTCAATAAGAGATGGTGCCTAACGTCTACCTCTAATACCAAATTGCTTAATATCTATTAGTAGTAGCAAAATAAATAGCCCAATTAATTATGGCAATTGTTTGGATTAATATTAATACAATCAAGCTTTGAAATGTTTATATATACTTAAAATAAAATTCTGTTGATTGTGATGTTACTCTTCAAGTATTTCAAAAAATAGAAAATATTTTTCAACACTGAAGTACAACTTTTTTTTTTAAGTATAATTTTCCTTTTTTTTTTTATCACACTGACTGGTATAGATTTGTTTTAAGACAGAACTGACTGTGCATATCTAATCAGAGAACGTCTTCAGCATCCAGGTTTTAACCTGAAGCTAGAATCAGTGGATTCTGAAAACATTTGTTTCATCTTCCATGTTTTACTGGATGCTGAAGAGGTTCTGTGATTAGACATTAATACATTTCGAATAATAGAGAAGTATATTTTTTGTTTTTGTGACTGAGCATATATTCATATGCAGTATATATATTAACTATGAAATATATTTATTGTATTCATAACTAAATATAATTAATTATGAGTTTAAGATAATTTAAACTTCATCATGAGACTTCATTTTCCGTTGTATGAATTTCAATTATTAGTTATATAACTACAGGTTATAGCTAATCATACATCAAAAGAAAAGAGCTATCTAATTACATTTAAATGTTTGTTTACTATGGAACTTATTATAAAGCATACAAACTTAATTAATTACTAGTATAGTATAAACATAAGCTTTCAAAGAATATAATAATAATTACATACAATTAATCAAAAAATTGTAGAAAAAACAAAGTTGTAACTAATCAAGATAAAAGATTAGCATTTGGATAGAAGGGAAAAAAAATCATAACAAGATCTGCACATTATGAAATACACAATTTTTTGTAAGTTAATTAATGAACAATTAAAATTAAAAACTAAAAACAAGGCCAAAATCACATTAATATTTATGATTGTTACTGTTTTCCACTTATAAATTCAACTAAATTATAGTGGAAAATAAGTAACAGCTGCAAAAATCAAACAATTCCATTTCACTTTTCTTTTTGAAAATTTAATGTTCAAAAGATAAGAAAATTCAAAGTAAATTATTACAAATAATTACAAGCATCTTACATCAGATATTAAACCTGTTTTACAAAGTCACGTGGTTGGCATCAAATCAACACTTCATATATTATGAGAGATTTAAAAAAAAAAACAGTTAAAAAACTTTAAAATGTGCTGAATTACTAAAAATATCTTAATAGATAAAATATATATCCTTAATTCAGAATAGGAAATCTAAACAACTTTTTCCATTCTTAAGCATAATTTATAGATATTATCACAAAGTAATATCTATAAATCATGTCAATTAATAAATATTTCTTAGATAAAATATTTTTAAATTAAAGGAAAGATTAATAAATATGTATAAAGTACAAAACATAGAGGCAATTTTGAAAAATATATATCAACATTGTATAAAAGTTTATAATTTACAACTGCTTAGATTAAATATTCCTGATTAAATGATAGCAATATAATTCAAATACCATACTTTAATGGAAATTTAAGTATAAATTTATACTATTTTTAATATAAGCTTTTATAAGAATTAAATTTACCTATGACTAATTTACTTCTATTGATTTCCAAATTATAAATGATGCAATCTAAAGATAAAGCTTCAACTTTAGTATTCTTTAAAATTGTTTCATGGATTATTTAAATATTTATAACCATAAAATTATAATAAATATAATATTTTTCTAGCAGAAAAACATTTTTAAATATTTCCACATAAATATGATGTTAAAAATATATCACACAAATATAAAAAAGACCTGGCAGCTTAATTTCAGGAACAAAAACCATCCACTGGACTTAATTCAAAATCAAAATTTCTAATCTAACTTAATACTTTCATACTTCAATATGCAAACCCAACAGAAAAACAACATAATCTGTATGTCAGACAGTAGATTTTATTCATTCTCAACACATTTACATAACAATTTCAATGAATAATTACATACTTTTGCCGGTAAATTTTATTTAACTTAGTAATTTTGATTTTCTTATACATTAGTCGTCATCTGATCAAAAACTTATTAAAAAAATATATATTCTTTCATTCAATTCACAGTAAACAAACATTCAAGACAAAGTTCCGTTAACTTAAAATGTAGCATACATAAATAATATTTAAATATTTATTTATTTTCAATATGTTTTTGGAGCATTTACTGACATTTGTTAACAGAATTATGATTTTAAAAAAATGAAAAATTTTCTAAAAATATTTCTGGATAAATATATTTAACCTTTATAAATGTTTGCATTTAATGAAGAGTAACTTAAAATCATAGAATTAAAATTCAATTTTTCTTCAATTGAAATAAATTATTTTATTTTAAATGAAAAAAAAAACCATTCAGTTTATATAATACTTAGTTTTTGTTAATTTTTTCTAGTTATTATAAATTAAAATATGTGTTTTTAATAATAAATTTTTCATACCTGTCAAAATCAATATGAAATATTACTGGTAATATGAAAGTGAAAGTAATTAAACTCATCAATCAAGCTAATTCCTCTGTAATTAATAGAAAACTTCATTCAGATTCTGGTAAAGTAGTCAAAACATCTGTTGAATTAGATATTTTTGGACTAAAAGTGTCTACATTTACACAATAAACATTCAAAATGATTTCTTTAGAAAAACAATCAACTTAAAAAAATCTAAAAAATTGTTTATTTTAAATTACGTAAATTCCTCAACTTATCTACTCTTGGTTTAACGACATTTTCCTAATAAAAATTTAACTATACACTTGATTATAAAGTAAAATAAAATTTAAACACTTTATTTTACTTTACATTCCTGGTTAGAGTAAACACATCATAAAGTTTTAATCAACTGATGATTTATTCTAAACATTCATTTTAATTAAAGAAAAGGAATTTAGTGAAATATAGAAATAATTTATTTTTTGTATATTACAAAACCTGAAAATTCTTCTTAATCATTTATTCTTTCTTTATAATTAAATTATAACATTTATTTAAACATTAACTATTCAGAAGGCAATCAACCTACAGCCAGTTGTTGTTATAATACGGAAGAGCAACTTTAGAGTTGTTCTTCAAAATTTGTCATTTTTCCTTTATACAATAGATGGTAAAAATCCAGCAGTATTTATGAACAACAGTATACTAAGGATATGATCTCCCTGACACTAGAAGGGTTAGTATTTATACTTCTTTTTAGAGTGAAAATCCTGATTTTAAAAAAATGGACTTAATCTGATTGGCTTCTGAACAGCTCATATATCAATTATGCTCAAATTTTCCTATTCTGTTCAAGAATGACACAGTTGATTTAGTTGATAGATTTTTTTTTGTTTTTATTTAAGATAAATTTACTCCAGTTTCCATGAAAAGAGTGACTTCTAATTGAACCACTGATAGATTCTTGTTTCATACTGATTCACCGTCATTGACACCTACATCTCATTTATGTGCCAGATTACATTTCTACTCACACTCATTAATACTGGAGTGGATTAGAACCTCAGGTCTGACCTGAAGAAGATCCAGCTGAAAGATTGAAAATGTTAGTCATTATCAAGATAATATGCTACTGGAAAATTGTTTAGAATATTCTACAAAGAAGGTTTGGAGCAGATTACATTTGTTGGTATTTATCAGATTTTAATGGATAATATTGTCTAAAGAGAAAGTACTGTAGATATCATGTTTATAACATTGCATTCATTGTAACCAATAATGTAAGTATTCATTAATGCATTCATTAATGCATTCAATAATGCATTCATTGTAACCAATAATGTAAGTAAAAAAGGAAATTAATTCTAATAAGGAAACAGCATTATAATTACTTCTATATTCAGATCCCTGGAACCTGAAGTCATAAGTTAAGCAAAAAGTACTCATATATAGAACTAATTATATGGCTGACTTTAAATTAAGAATTTCAGTTTTTTGGTTAACAGGAAGCCAGAAAATGATTGCATTTAACAAATTATCCCATGCAACTGAGCCAGCTTCAAAAAGCCCACTTGACTGTTTGTGGAGTACTTAATGTTATATAGTTTTAGAAGGTGTGGGGGCTTGCCCCCACCCAGGCGCTAAGGTGCGAGCAATATCGAGCACCAAGGCACATGTAGAATTGGCAGTATACTGACTGATACATGTTAAAAACTGATCTTTGAAGACAAATATCTTGCAAAGAGTTAACAATTCTGGGGTAGTGTGAAACCCCTCATTTAAAGCTTGAATCCTACCCATTGCTGTACATATCAGTTGGCGTCCTGTTAACCAAAAAGTACCAGAGTTTCAATTAATTCCATGACATAAATAGTCTTATATTTAATAACAAATGAATATATCTCTCAAATTCTGACACTTTCTACTTAATTAAATAAATTTTAAATTTGTTTGAAAAGAAAGAGTAATCTGAATCTGAGAGGCAACTCATGAAAATATTCATGTGTTATTAAATATAACAGGAATCAAGGAATTAATTAACTTTTAATCTAATAAAATACTGAAAGAGGATAACTTGATTTATAATTTCTGAACTGAATTGTGAAAATGAATCAAAGACATTCAAACTTACTATTCAAACAATTGTTACCACATTATATAAAATCTTAACAAACTATCTTATTTATTGATGATCAATAAATTTCCATTTATTAATAGCTAGCATCCTACCACAATAAACAATGGCCAAATGGTTGAAGTGATAAGAGATAGCAACTGCTATTCTAAATATCCAGATTTAAAAGTAGATTAGGGCTGCAAAAATTTTTACATGTACATTGATCTATGTACACAAAATCCCAACCTTTGCTCTAAATGCAAAACTGACCGAACCCGTAACGGGCATGAAAATAAAGCAGAAACTAGATACTGCTTGTTTTCTGACTGAACACAATTAAATCATGGACGCCGAATTTCATTACATCTTTAATTTCCTCATCTCATATTACTTAAAATAACAAAGTTTAATCAAAATTAACCGATCAAATTCCGAGAACAGACTCAATTCTATAAACCACCCAGAAGAAACTTCGCTAATACTCCACCTCAATCAAATACATCCAAAAATCTAGCACAGGTTTATAATAAGATAACCAATTTTGTAACAAACCGCTTCCTACGTAAAAAAGAAAACACCTTCCAACTTTAAATATTAAAAACCATTAAACTCGTGACATCACACCGAATTTCCTCGACAAAAAGAAACTCTCTATCAACTTTTTACAACATTATTGAATTTTCTATATATAGAACTTTCGATTTTATCATCCAATAAGGCAGAACACTTTACAATTTTCTCTTTTTCAATCAATATTTTCAAATGAATGAACATTCAACACATCAGAAACATAATTAACAATGCACCCCAAACTAGCTAATTAGTAACTGTTTAATTATAATATTGTAAAATTACATTGTTAAGTAAGAATATAATTAATCAGAAGATTAAAATTTGATATTAAACACATAAAACAGAAAATATCTTTATATAAACAATGTTATCTCCATCACTTCATGTATTGCATCTTAGTGTCTAGACTTTTTTTTTTACCATTGTTAAGGCTTGTGTGACGTATGATAATATTTAAATTTCATTAATTTGTGAGTACATTCATCAAACAAAATGGAAGAATATAAAAGAAAGTGTTTACATTATAACATTCACTCTTGTCATTTTATGTTATATTGATTCATTTCTTGTATATTCGAATAATACATTACCGAAGCGTTATACTCGCTTGTATAATTTATAAATTACATATTTTCTTACGATTAATATTAAAACAAAGAGCAGAAAAAAAATGTATAAAGTGTTACCGGATGAAGCAGCCGACTTTTCTTCCCATCCTAATTTCGTTTCACTTCTCGACGATAGAGGCGCGACACTCGCGATTGATTTAATTTTATCGTCTGGTTTTGTAATTTATTTATTTGTTGTTTTTATTATCGTTTTTTTATTAAAATTTTAAAAGATTGTCGGTTTATTATTTTTTGCGAGTGAAGAAATTTTTTAGAAATATTTCATACGTTCATTTTTTTAACTTTAGAAAATACAGTATTTTTGTTCGTTATTGGATCGTTCGGTTTCCGATTTAAAATTTCGTGAAAATGGCCTCGTTGCCTGATAAAGCGGTTTTAAGAGAACCAATAACACAGTTCGTTTCAAATGAAACAGGTTATCTTATTGGCTTGCTTGTCTGGCCGTATTAAAGCCGTTTTTCTATGCATCGCGCTCAATGTTGTGCAATGTGCGCATTATATAAGAAAATACCTTTAAAAAAACCTTATAAAATTCTCTCTCCCACTTTGTGTGTGTATAATAAACGAAGATAAGAGGTATCAACTTTTCGTGAGGAAAATGGAACAAGTAAAAGCATACACAATTCATGTTTAATGCACAGTAGTGTTTTTTTTTTTTTTTTACAGATTGTCAATTGATCAAGATATATTAAATCTTATTTAAAGTAGTTTTTAGGTCATCTTAGGATGCTAACTTGAACCAATAACTAAAACTGTTTTCTCCTTTATGTCATATGTTACTTCCACAGGAAATTAATGAAATAACTTATTCTTGCCTTTCATTTCATAAAGCCATACGTTATTCCGCAAGTCATTTATAAATGATGCAATATTTATCATTGCACATTTTTGTGTCGTTTCACTCGGAATCTTGTGCTCTTATCTGCAAATTATCTTTTCTTAAAAGGAATGCAAGATTTTCATCTGCTTACAAAAGAACAGAAAAAGATTATATCTGCAGAAATTGTTTTATTTTTGCCAACTTTATGTTTTTACAAATTACATAAGTTTCATTCTTTATCGAGAGATTTTTAAAGACATAACATTTATATAGATCCAAATAGATATTTTAATGTGTGCGAGACCTACCGTTCAGGCTCTCGACTATCGCTTGAATTCCTTAATTTCTGCAAAGATTTCGGAAATAGGCAGGCCGTAACAATTACTACCAATGTTTTACAAATATAAATATACAACAATTCATAATTGAGACTAAAATTATATATATCCTTTTTACTAGTGTCTGAATCACAAATATCAATTTGTTGGGTCTGTCGTTCCAATAACAAATTAAAGGCCATTTCTAGAAATGATTCTATATACAGTCGATCCCCCTATAAGACGGTAGATACGTTCCGTTCTTTATGAATCAATTTTGTAGGAATCACAGCCAATCACAGCCCGACACGTGTGAAGTTTACGGACTATGACTGTTTGAAAGGTTTTCTTCCATAAAATTAATCGATTCTAGACTAATCCGACTCAACATTTCCAAAATACGTATATTTTTTTGGAAATAATCCGTATAAACTACGCTATAAACAAAAAATTGTAGGATTACTTACCGAGTGTGCACCATTCGACATCGCCGTTGCTCAAGCTTGTTTTCGTCGCGGAACAGCGCAGCAAACCGCGGCCGCGATTTCTGATGTTATTTTTCTGCGAAAACTTCGTTGAACTTTGGAGACAT